TTATATGAGTTTGAGTTACATGTTCCTCTTATCAAGGTCCCTGGGGCCTTACACAAAGCTCAATACCCAATAGCTATCCAATGAACATTAGTTAAAGGTACTGATTCGTTAAATCCCAGGTAGTTGAGCGCTCTGAGAGGGAAATAATTTCTAGGGTCTCCCTTCAAGCACTACCCTTTCTTTGATCTTGGACTAGGACTGTGCCCTTTTAGAGCACATCCCAAGCTGCCCCGTTCCTCCAAGGCCATCAGAACAAACCAAGGACATCTCTAGCCTATGAAAGCAGCACTCCTGGGCCAGGGCTAGGAGTGACCACAAAGCAGCTATATAAACCTATAAAGCATCCTAACATGAAGACCTTGCTTGACACAAAGCAGCTGAAATAATAACTCAGATACTCAAATGTGGGTATGTGTTAAAGACAGGGTGACTGGAAAGCTCTGGGCTACCCTAGGTTCACCACAGGCTATTATGTTTGACTGTGTCAGTTGCTGTGGTTAGGTGCCATAGAGTAAGATCTGACTCGTAACCACCCTATGCTCAACAGAATGAAACACTGCCAGGTACTGGTCCATCCTCACAGCTGTTATGTTTGAGCCTATTGCTGCTGCCACTGTGTCAATCCATCTCCTTGGAGCTCTCTTCTTTTGTCACTGATTCTCCACTTTACCAAGAATGATGTCCTTCTCCAGGGAATGGTCCCTCCTGATACTATGTTCAAAGTATGAGAGACAAAGTCTCACCATCCTGGCTTCTACTTTTTCCAACTCAGATTTGTTTGTTCTTCAGGCAGTCCATGGTCTTTGAATATTTTTATCTAACTCTATAATTCATAGGCATCAATTCTTCTACAGTCTTCCTTATTCAGTGTCCAACTTACACATAATTATGAAGCTTGGGTCAGGTGCACCTTAGTCCTCTTAAACTCTTAAAGAGGTATTTGTAGATTTGCCTAATGCAATACATCATCTGATTTCTTGACTGCTGTTTTCATGAGTGTTGATTATGATTCAAGCAAAATCCAAGCTTTGACCACTCCAATCTTTTCTCCATTTATCATAATGTTATTTATTGGTCCAGTGGTGAAGATTGTATTAGAGGAGATTGCAACTGGTCTTCAAAGGAGAGGTCTAAATCCCTTTCTTTCTTCCTTTGGTGGGAAAGGATATATGGATCTGAGAGACTTAGGTTTTCATTCCTGCTCTGACATCTACAAGGGGAACTGGAATGAGTTTCTTAACTCTTCCTGAGCCTGTTTTCTCAGACCATACATAAAACTACACAAGGAGAACATATACAGTCCACTCCAGAGCCATGCCACGGACCACTCTGTAGGACATTTGTGTGAATTTATATAAAACAAAATCCAACCATCTGTCTGCCCACCCCCCCCCCCCCCCCCTTTTTTTTTTATCCTTTCAGCAAATATTGGAGGGATGACTGTAAATAAGACAAAATCTCTGCTTCAGGGAGCCAACATTCTAGAGGGCAGAGGCAGGCAACAACTAAGTAAACCAAGAAATGAGCAACACAGTGACAGATATGAAGATGCTTTGATGGAAATGGGCTGACATGAGGGAGGGTAAGCTTGGAGGTAGGGGTGCAGCTGCAGCTGGAGTAGTCAGGGAAGCTGTCTCTGAGGAGGTGGCATTGAGTAGAGACTGGAAGGCTGAGAAGGAACCAGCCATGAGGAGAGCTGAGGGAAGATGGTTCCACGCAGAGGGGAGTAGCCAATGTAGGTGGCAGCCACTCAACACACGGAGGCAGTTTTCTCTTCTCTTCCCTCCCTACTTCTCTCCTCTGACCTTTTCTCCCCCATCCCCTGTCCTTCTCCTCTTCCCTCCTGGTGTCTCCTTTCCAGCTCAGTTCTTACTGCAGGAATATGTTTTTGGGGCTTTGGAACGCTTTTCTGTTCCTTTGGGCTCCAGCCTTTATGGCAGCCTGGAGGTTTCCTCCCCATTACCCATCACTCAAAGGCAGACCGTAACCTTGCTATGTCTGGCTTTCTCTTGGGTCAGAGCAGGGATATTTCCTGGGCCCTCAATTTTGGTCCACAGACCCTGCCTCACTCACCCAGCCAACGTGGCAGACGGATGGTTTTCAGGTTGAAGTTGGTATAGCTACGAATGAACACGTAGGTGGTGACCATGAGAAAGGTGAGGGCCAGGAAACGACACACAACTGTGCAGCAAAGAGACAATGATTAGACACTGGGCCAGGGGGAGAAACTGCCCTTTTAATATACAAAATTATTTTATGAACTTGAGTGCTCTTGGAATGTTCAAGAGCCCAGGACCTCAGGTGATACCCAGTATGCCCAAGTTTCTCCAGTCCTTCAAGCTGGAAACAGGAAGTCCCCTTCCCCTCTCTTCTAGGCTCTCCTGGATCGGTCTCTTCCTGCATCTCTGGCCTGAACATTTGAGAGCACTGCTTGAGTGGGTACAACCAGGTCACCTCTGAGCCCAGGGATGGGTGGCCCCTGATGGCAGAAAATGATTCCCAAACCAATTTCTGACACTACACTTGAATCTTAGGCTCCTCAGAACCTGGACATACCTGATAGTCTCATCCTACCCAGGTGAAGAGCAGTTTGGGGTCAAGAGTTGTCCTGTGGGAGAGAAGAAAATGGAATTGGAATCTGAAATGTGGAGACTGAAAATGAACGAAGTGCAAGTTTAGGGGCAGGGATCTCTAACTGAGAGGACCCCAGTCCTGTCAGTTTGGTCCCTCATTGCTTGCCATAAGAAACAGGGACAATTTCCTTCTTCCTTTCTGACTCTACTCTGATACTCCTGCCCGTGGAATTTAATGTTCAGCTCAAGATTTCTTATGAGGGCAGAGATTGGAAAGCAGAGGAACTGGGGTCCAGCAGTCGCAATCCACTCATCCATCCATTTGTACGTCCTCTGTCTCTCATTCTTACCATCTTTAACACATCTATCTTCTCATCCTTTTCCCTTCCTTCCAACTGTTTATGCATCCATCTACCCATCCTTTTCTTCTCCCTCCCTCCCTCTAACTATCCTTTTCCCCTTCCTTCCTCCCTTCCTTCCTCCCGCCCTTTATTCTTTCCTTCCATCCATCCATCCTTCTCTCCTTTCATAGCTTTGAAACTGCCTCACACATCTCTGGAGTCTTCTGGGAGACAGGACATGGTTGGTGGTAACTGTCCTGGGCCCGCGAACTCACACAGCCAGCCAAGGGTCCACCCCTCTTCTTGGGTCTCTGGTGGAAGAATCTGTCATCTAACTGGAAAGAGTTTCTCCCAACACTCTTCCCCCATCCCTTCCTTCCCAGAATTCCTCTTCATCCTATGAATCCATCTCAACAAACAGAGACCATGTCCAGTCCCTGAACATAGACCCAAGACAGGAAACATGGCAGTGTTTCCAACACTTTCTTTGGCCTGGACATGTCCTTTTGCCTCCTTGCTCTAGGACATGCTCATCTATACACTGAAGCAGCTAGACCAGTTCAACCACAAAGCTGTGTTTCCTTGGGGGATTATAAAAATCCCACTGCCTGCCCTGTGCCTACTCCTCCAGGACCTTTCTGGTTACAAAACGGAGCTGCTACTAGTTCCACCCAGAGAGATTTTATAGAACTTTAAATTTCTTGATGTTTGAATTATCAATTTTTTTAAAGATACTAAATTATCTTATGAACAAGAATGCTCTTGAAATGTGATTGACAGTTCAGGAGCCCAAGCCCTTGGATGAGACCTGAAGGATGGGGATGGAGATGAACAATCAGACAGGAATATTCACAGGGAGTCACAATGGCTTCACTGAGACAGAGCAGAGATCAGACAAGGAGGCTGAGGGTGGGGAGAGAAAAAAATGGCAAACAAAGACACAGAGAGATGGAGTTACAGGGAGAGGGAGAAGATACAAGACAGAAGCAGACAGAGGGACAGAGGGTGAGAAAGAGGCAAAGAACACGAACACAGAGAGACAACGGCCATGGGAAGACAGAGCCAGAGGAGTTATGTTTCCACAACCAAGTAAAAGCTTGGGGCCACTAGAAAGGCAAGGAAGGACTCTCCCCTGGAACCTTCAGAGGGAGCTCAGCTCTGCAGACACATTGATTTCAGACTTTAGAATGGTGACAGAACACACTCTGTTGTTCCAAATCATCTGGATTGTGGTACTTTGGTAGGAGAGTCACTTTCAGAGAGAAAGGGAGAATAATCCAGAAATGGAAACAGAAGACTATCTAAGGATATGGCAGATATGGTATCATTAGATATGGACGGGAGCTGACAATAAGTTCTATGAGCTATCTAAGTTTCCATTGCCAGCAATGCAAATAATTTATGAAAATGGCACTATTTTCATAAATATACTTCTGGACAGAAGACAGACACAGGGATTAGGGTAGGAGCACGTACCTGGGCAGAGAGCTAGCTTCCCGCTGCTATGACCATTGACTAGAGATTCCGGCTTCAGGGCTGGGGTTGGGACAGGGTCTGGTTGTGGTTGGGCTGGGAGGACTCTCCTTACAGATATTCCCTCCTGACTGAGTCCCTTGCCACCCACTCAGCACTTGCAGGACTCCTTAGTGTCCTGAGTCCCTAACCTACTCACCCTGGAAACCTCTGGGCTTTCTGAAGCTGGAGCCCAGGACTGGTCCACGGTGGGAGGAGCCATGGAGATAAAGCCTTGGGGCCTGGGACAGATTTGCAGGGTGTGACAAGAATTTCTTGCATAGCCACTCAAGTCGGAAACACTTTCTATTCTCCTTGTTCCTACTAAAGATGTCATAACCTGTTATTCAGGCTAGGAAATCTCAGAGTAAAAACACAGAGTAAAAACACAGGGTGGCGGTGGGGAAGGGCTAGTGGTCTGGTTGCTGACCCAGGCACACAGATAATGAGACCCTAGGTGGACTTCTGGTGTGGTACTGTATATTAGTACTGGACTGCTAACCACAAGGCTGGCAGTTCAAACCCATCAGCCTCTCCTTGGAACTGACTTGATGGCACTTAACAACAACAAGGAGTAGTATCTGTTGACTGTTGTTTCCCCAGATTTCAATCGTGAATCCAAGTAAAATGAAATCCTTGACAACTTCAATCTTTTCTCCATTTGTCATGATGTTGCTTATTGGTCTAGTTGTGAGGATTTTTGCTTTATTTATGTTGAGGTATAATCCATATTGAAGGCTTTAATCTTCATCAGTAAGTACTTCTAGTCCTCCTTGATTTCATCAGGCAAAGTTTTGTCATCTGCACATCACAGATAGTTAATGAATCTTCTTCCGGTCCTGATGCCTTGTTCTTCATATAGTCCAGTTCTGGAAGTTTTTGCTCAATACAAAGATTAAATAAGTGGTGAAAAAATACATCCTTGGCACACACCTCTCCTGATTTTAAACCATATAGTATCCTCTTGTTCTAGCTGAACAACTGCCTCTTGGTCTATGTAAAATGCCCATTTTGCAGCAAATCTGTCCAACGTAATAATCCCATTTGATATCTTGAGTTGAACTCAATTTAAAGTGTTCAAAAGAAAAGCTTTCACTTTGAGGACTAAGGTGTGTTTGACTCAAGCCTTGATATTTTCAATCACCTTATATGCGTGCGAAAGCTGAACAATGAATGATGGAAAACTAAAGATGAACTTTCAATACCTTTGAATTATGGTGTTGCTGAAGAATACTGAGGATACACATCATGGAGTGATAGAAGAATGAACAAATCGGTCTTGGTAGAAGGACAGCCAGAATGCTCCTTAGAAGCTAGGTGACAAGACTTTACCTGGTGGATTTGAACCACATATCTTGCCATTAGCAGCCCAACACCTAACCCACAGCATCACCAGGGCTGTTCATCAGATAGAGGATGAAATTCAGACAGGGCAAGTAGCATGGCTAAGATTGCACAGCTAAAAGTGGATTTAATTCCTGAGCTTTCTCTGAGCGCCTCTGGGGAGGCAGGCTGTGCACTAGGCATGGGCAATATGGCTGTGAGGGAAACATGCTTTGTAGCACCCCCGAACCATTGAACTTGCTTATCCCTCTATCCCACTCCATACTGTTCCACTCCCTCTTTGCCTGGAGCTTGCCTACTCATCCTACAAGTCTCTGTGTAGGATGCTTTTCCTAACCCTCCAAGTCAAGATTAAACCACTATCTGTAGTGTTGAATATGAGGGTTTAGAGAAGAATCCATCATAACACCCAACTCTGTCATAAAGGGCTAGCCAATTAGAGCATTGTGATTCCCTTGTGATTGGTTCAGGAATAAGCATGTGACCCAAGCAAGGCCAACCAGAATTTTTCTTGAATGAATGAGGAGAAAGAAGCTCTTCTCTTCTTGGTGTTGCTATGTTAGAAGTCTGTGAGCGTGGCGCTCCTTTCTCAGCCACTATAAGACAGCACCTACTGTTGTGGACATATCCTACCAGCAGATGCAAACACAAGGACAGAACTGCTGGAAAGTTGTATGTGATCTTGGTCTCCAAAGAATCAGGCAGTGAGAAGCTATAATGTGGGGGAAGAAGATTAACTTTGGAATCAGACCAGCCTGTGCTTATCACTTGCTAGTTGTGTGTTTAGGAGTCTTGGTGACGCTGTGGGATATTGTTGTTAGACGCTGTTGAGTCATTTCTGACTCATAGCAACCTTATGAATGACAGAATGAAACACTGCCTGGTCCTGTGACATCCTGGTGATTGTTATGTTTGAGCCCATTGTTGCTAGTACTGTGTCAATCCATTTTATTGGCAGTCTTCTTTTTTGCAGACCTTCCACTTTTCCAACCATGATGTTCCTCTCCAGGGACTGATTCGTCTTGACAACATGTCCAAAGTACAGAGACAAAGTCTCACCACCATTGCTTCTAAGGAGCAATCTGACTGTACTTCTTCCAAGAGAGATTTATTTTGTTGTTGACATTGTTAAATGCTGGTGAGTCAGTTCTAATTCGTAGTGACCCTGTATAAGGTTCCCAAGGAGCAGCTGGTAAGTTTGAACTGCTGACCTTGTGGTTCAAATCAACCGTGCAGTCTAGTACTTTATCCCACAGGGCCACAGCAGGACTCTTTGGCAACCCATATTACTTTCAACATTCTTCATCAACACCATAATTCAAATTCCAAGGTTTTCTTGATTCACTATTCCATTTTGATGCATATGAGGCAATTGAAAATACCATGGCATGGGTCAGGCACACCTTAGTTCTCAAAGCGACATCTTTGTTTTTGAACACTTTAGAGAGGTATTTTGCAGCCGATATGCCTAATGTGCTATGTTATTTGATTTGTTGACTGCTGCTTCCATGAGCATCGATTGTGGATCAAAGAAAAATGAAGTCTTTGACCACTTCAATCTTTTCCATTTGCCATGATGTTACCTATTGGTCGATTTGTGATAATTTTAGTTTTATTTACAATGAGGTGCAATCCATCCTGAACACTGTAGTCTCTGATCTTCATCAGCATTTTAAGTCCTCATCGATTTCAGCAGGCAAGGTTGTGTCATCTGCACATCGCAGGTTATTAGTGAGTCTTCTGCCAATCCTGATGCCACATTCTTCTTCATGTAATCCAGTTTATAGGATTATTTGCTC